CAGTTGCTAGGTAGTTATGAATTTTGTCTTATTTTTAAAATATTGTACTAAAATTGAAAGTGTTAAAAAGACAAATATACCTTTATTCAGTATAGTCCTTGGACTGTTTCTTTAAAGAAATTATCTAAGGCTTAGGATCTAAAAGAATCAATAAATTAAATCAACAATACTCTAAATAAATGTTAACCTAATTAAATATCATCAATTGATGGTTACTTTGAAGCTTTATTGCCCTTCTTTTAGGGAGGTAAAATAAAAGTATCTATTGGTTTTTATATGTTGTATCTGTGATGTGCTAAAGCACAGCAAATGTGCCCAAATTCTACAGTTTGGAGGCCAACCTGATGCTGTGTGTTAAGCAATGATTTAGGATGTGGGTAAATGAGAGAGAAGATGATTTTTCCTAGTGACATTTAGTAAGATATAAGATTTGTACATCTAATTACGTATCATAACTACCACTAAGTTTAACACAAACCAAAATATGATTCATAGGACTATATTTTTCCATGTCTACATGAACCCATTACTATGTATTCTGGTAACCTAATTTCTCCTCAAGGCTGTTCTTGATAATCTTTATCTATATTGTACCTTTGAGAACAAAGGGAAATGAATGACTTCTTGTAAGTAGCCTAAAGCCATCATACCTAAAGAATGACTCTGGAAGTCACCACTCCCATCAAGATAGTTCTAGATGTTAATTTTTGCTGCAAGTTTCTATGGCAAACTTGGTTTTCATTATCTTTAGAGTGGTCAGAACCAAATTGAGTGTAAAATTAGGGAAAACGATAGAAAATGAAGTCATACTATATTCATTTGTCTCTGTGAATAGTTTATTTATAACTATGAAGTGAAAACAGTGAACATTTGGGGGTAAAACCCTGACAGATGTAGTGCTAGACATGAGGGTAGGCAGGCTTTATCCCTTGGTTTGACAATGCTCATTTATATTAACTGCATCCTAGAGTGGACCTTGGTGTTCTCCTTTGACCCCCTTGGATCTGTTTTGTCATTCAAGACAACCCTCCCACCTTGGGATTCTTCTGCTTTCAACATTTGATATCTGAGATTTCATGGCATCTGAAATTTTTTTCTTGCAAATCATTTTGTTGTCTGGAGATTGACTTCCCAGAAGTGCCCTTGACTCATTTTACAAACAAGTGTGAAAGCCCAGACCGTTTGTTCCTGTTAGGACAACCTCTGAGGAATTACACTTACCATAGTTCCCCTTTGCAATTAGCTGCTCTCACGGGACTTGCCTGAAATGTGAAATTGTGCTTATTCCAGTTTCACAATCCCTGTCAGGTTCTTAACTGGTTTCTTCCAGTTAGCACTGCCTTAATCAATCATTGGTACTTCCATCATCATCTCATAATCTGTTTCCCCTCAAATTTAAGAACATAAAAATGTGCAAACCCACACTTATTTCCTAGAAAAATGCAAAATTTACTTAAAAACTTATTCAAAGAACAAGCAATTACAATTGCCTTAAATAGCTAATTGTGGGAGATGGAATTAGTCAGTGGGTCATGATGTCCATCAAGAAAGGATTAATCTCAACATGACATCATTCTTTCTGCATATAAATACATGTGGGCGTAGGACAATGGAAAATTATAGCAGATTTTTTCAAGGGCAGAAGAAGAACACGATGAAGGTGAATGTGTACAGAAAGAGTTTATTAATGAGACTAAGTGGAGTTTTTAAAAATCCAACAAGAGAAAAATATGAGTAGGAAGAAGAGAATAATGAAATAATTTTCATTCCCTCTAAACTTCCCATTATCTTTTATTCATCCCATTTTAGGAGAGATATTTTTATAGTGTTTGTATGGTACAAATCTGGAGAGTAAAATGGATAAATAAATTGTCACTTCATAAAAACTTTTACATACTGAAGAAGAGCCAAGAGATGTGTTTTAAATAATCTGCTAAGTGAGACTCTAGCTCTAACCTCTGGAGATAAAGGGGGAAATGCAGTAAGGTCTAAGTATACAAAAGAGAAATTTAAGCATGAAAACAAATGTGGACAATCACTATTCAGAAACACCGAATATCACTTTGACATATCTTTTGACATACATCTTTTGACATACTTCCCTGCTTAAGTGAAAGAGCAAGAAATGTGTCTGCCTTGCTCACTACTGGAATATTGAAAGCTACCTAAACATACTTATTGAATGGATTATCATTAATTAATCATATTTTAAAAGCAACATTGATTTATTTATTTACAAAAGAGGTATTCCCTAGATTTGGCATACATCAGGCATTTAAGAATATACATTGAATAAATAAAGTCTAAATATTGGAACTGGGAAACATGACCTTTCAAGTATAATTTCACTTATATGAATAATGGGAACAAATGTTTTAAATCATGACTGTCCTGAAATTTTGGAACTCTATGGATTCAATGGGCATTCAACCTGAAAAAAAAGAGGAAATCTCATTTCCTACAAAATCTACAGAAAATAATTACCCTGTACTAAATCTTAGGCCTGAGGAGACCTAACACTGACTTTTTATCTTTCCATTTACCCTGAATAGTGGCAGGAGAGGTTATTGTAATTTAAGTTAAATAAATACCAGTGAATTTTAAAGAATTTTAAAATGATGATAGAGTTAATGTCATTGATATAATCTGGACTAAGTACAATAGACTTACTAGAATATGACAAAGGAATAGAATAATATGAGAGAAACTGTTAAAATATAATATTTGATCTCAACTATACATAATATCTAATAGATGGAGTGGAGAAGGCATATTAGGAATTAAGTAGCATTAAACCCACAGTATTAAGAGCAAAATTATATTCTTAAAAAATGTTAAAGGGACCCATGTCCTAGATTTATCTATGAAATTTAAAATATATTTCTTTTATCTCCTTCAGAGTCTCCTTATTCTGCTACCTACTCTAATTTTTTTCTGATAGGTTCCACATTTCAGCACTTATTTTTGTTTTAAAACTTTGATGCTTTTTACTGGATATGTGCATCCCACATTAACAGTATACATGGGTCAATCAGAGGAGAGTTTGACAATCAATATACTAACTCACTGATAGAATAGTAATATTTTCTTCATTTGCATAATGTGGTAAGTTTCTAGTTAATGGAATGCAATCTCAATGAATGTCCAAAACATATGTCTATTTTTAAGATAAGGAAACAGAATCATAATTATATTAAGTAAATTGCTCACATGGACTATTTCACACCAACCCTGGGAGGTACCTTCTTTCGCTATTGAATGGTTGAGAAAGCTGGCTCTCAAAAAGTATATGACAGTTTTGTACTTTCTCAAGGTTTATGATGTCTGCTCCAGCTGAAATATCTTGGCCATGTCAGATGGCATTTCTTAAAAGGCTATTGTAAAAAGCTTTATATAAAACAATCTTCTTTAATTTTTCTTTTCTTTAAATAGGCAACATCATCCCTTCTTGTTTAATGAAAATTGTTACTGGAGCTAATTAATTCCTTCTTGAAGAGTTCAGTTAATATGCTTGACTTCTTTTAGAGAATTACAATTCTCAATGCTGGCTTTCTGCCAAAACAGAAAGGAAAAAGCATAATGAGCAGGGGAAGAAACAAATGATATATACAGGGCATTCCTGAAAAGTGACATACATCATTAAATCAAACCACCTTGGGTATTAGGAGGAAATTTTTCTCCACAAAATCTGAAGACATTGAACTTCTTCAGTCTTGAAAAGTGGTATTTGCAAGAATCAAGAACATGAGAGACGGGGGTTAGACACATTTCAGCATTTATGTACAGTCAGTTCTTCACACCCACATCTTCAACCAACAATGGATTAAAGTATTTTTTAAAATGTTGTCTGGACTGAACATGTACAAACTTTTTTCTTGTCATTATTCTTAAACAATACAGTATAATAAGTATTTACATAGCACTTACATTTCGTTAGATATTATAAGTAATCTAGAGGTCATTTAAAGCATATAGGAGGATGGGTGTAGATTATATGCAGATATTATGTGATTTTTATATAAAGGACTTTTTTCCTTTTTAAATTTATTCTTTTTAATTATATATGATCGTAGAATTACGTATTTTGACATCATATATACATGAAGTATAACTTCCCATTTTGTGGTTATACACTGATCATGTATTCATATATGAACATAGGGAAGCTATGACCAATTCATTCTACTGTCTTTCCCAATCCCATCCCCTCTCCCTTTCCCCCACTTCTCCATGTCCAATCCATGAACGTCCCCTCCTCCCTACCACACCTCACCTATTGTGAGTCAGCATCTCCATATCAAAGAAAACATTCAGCCTTGTTTTGGGGGGATTGGCTTATTTCACTTAGCATAATAGTCTCCAGTTGCACCCATTTACTGGAAAATGCCATTATTTCATTCTTCTTTATGGCTCAGTAATATTCCATTGTGTATATGTACCACATTTTTAAAAATTTTTAAAAATTATTAGTTGTTCAAAACATTACATAGCTCTTGACATATCATATTTCATACATTTGATTCAAGTGGGTTATGAACTCCCATTTTTACCCTGTATACACAGATTGCAGAATAGTAATGAATAGTAATGAATAGTAAACTTGTACATCACTCTTGGCAAAACTTGAAAAACTTGAAAATCATTCACATATAAAATTAAGAAAAAAATTAAGGAAGAAGGTTATTCTAGCTTGGAAGGTCAGACTTTTCAACTGAACTTAAATACCTTCTGATAATTCTCAGATGGGTTATTTTATGTTAATGCAAAAGAAAGATGATGTATTTTTGCTTTTTTTACTATTGCAAAAATAAATTCTTCTACTAAATGTCATTTAGTTGTACTGATTTGTTATAAAATGGAATTTGCAGTAATGAGAGGAAGCTCTGAAGTTTCAGCAAGAATTATGACAGGTAAATTACAACAATTATTATTTTAATTAATCTGAAGCTGAGTTTGAGAACGTGGTTATGGTAGAAGGCAAGGAATTCCTATGCTGTTTTAAAAAATATGTAATGCTTTAGGAATTGCATGTCATCCTTGCACAGAGGACACACTAATATTCTCTGTATCATTTCTATTTTAGTATATGTGCTACAGAAGTGAGAACAATAAATACTGTTTTTAAGAGACAATCAAAAGAAAACCTTCCCTCTCTCCCAACAAAAACCAAAACAACAACAATAAAACTATAAGAGTGACTAAAAAGCATTAAATAGTATAACAAGTATATGTGCTAAGTCCTGACATGATAGTCTGTAATTGGGTCCTTTTATATTTGACAATAGAAGAAATTTGACTTGAGCATTATTAGAGGGGAGGGATGTATATATGTGGGGGGTGATATGTCAGGAACATCAGAGATAATTTTGGAACTATCATATAAAGAAAATTTAACCACAAAGTTACATGGCCATTACAGATAAGACTGTTCCTACTACTGAACTTGATCATGCCAGGGGAATGAGATATACCTAGGTCTTAAGATTAGATTCATGGAACTTGAATGTCTCCTTCTCACATTGCTTAGATAATCAGTAAGATATAAGGGAAAATAGCCACCAAAACCACAAAGCCATTGGAAAACAGTTCTTTACTAAGATATTTAGCTTCTTTCTGTCTTCCTGTGTATCTGGTGCTTCATATTTCAAAATACAGTTAATAATGTAAAGTCAATTCAGTGGAGCAGACACCTATCAAGGGCCACAAGGATAATTTAGTCCTGATAAAATAGGATACAATGATTATGATTTCTTTTTTAAAAATTTTTTTAGTTGTAGATGGACACAGTACCTTTATTATTTATTTATTTTTAATGTGGTGCTGAGGATTGAACCCAGTGCCCACACATGCAAGGCAAGTGCTCTACCACTGAGCTACAGCCCAAGCCCTGTTATGATTTCTTTAGGCTTAATGTGACTCTTAGATTATTTAAAAGTCACACATATGTTAGAATCCAAGAATATGAAAGTCCAACATATATCTTTTACCTCCAGTGATTTTGTATATAATGTTATTTTTCTCTTTTAACTGAATGGCTTCTAAGAGAACATTAAAGATGATGATTTGAGGGTGTTCATCAAAAGGAAAACTAAGTTATTTTTACTTTTTTTATTGATCAGTCTCATACTCAGGGCCAGGCTATACCCTTAGCCCCCAAATTTATTTTTAGGAAAGAAAAATTACTTTTTGCTACTCTGTTTGCCACATACTTTGTATTTGCTACCAAGGGAATATGCAAGATATTTTTTTGCATTATAATGCTACCTCTCCCCCCCAAATGCTAATCTCTTACCTTCTAAGTGATAAATCGCCCAATTTTAAAGTTCTATTACCTTCTTCACCACCTGCTCCCTTTCTTCCTGCTGATACCCTTTTCCCATGAAATAATGAAAAACTTCATTAGATAGGTACAGAACCAAACTGTTTCTTTAAGAGCTTTTACAAAAGTAGCCTTTGTTAATTGTCATAAGACATTAAATTTTACGTACCCAGGAATACCTCTCTTCTTTAACGTCTTGTTTTTGGTTTTGAGGCTCCTGCTTTCTTTATATGTACAGTTTCTAACATTAGTTTTTGCAACATTTCATTCTGCATTCCATCATAGTTTGGGTTTGGATGATAGCAGAGACTGGCTAGAGGTGTGACACATCACTGCTATATGGAAATATTTCTATTTATGTGGACACCTCCTTTGAATTGAGCTCATTTTTGTGCAGCCTGAAGGACAAGAACTTAACAAGATGGTGACACTAGACTAAACTGGAAATTCTAACATACTTAACAGGCCAATTGCTGCCTCACTCTCCCCACCTTCTCAAACATCTGGCTGATGTCCACCCCTTACCAACAGTAATCTGGGGCAAGTTCTCTGGTTGCTCTAAGTATTCTTTTTTCTCATTTGTAAAATGTGCCCAGTATCACCACATCAGGTTTATTTGTAAAATTTTGTTTTGAAGCAGTTGATACTTATAGAAATGTATAAATAATTATGTATCTCTTTTACACATGATTCTAATTGTTAACATTTTATTTCATTTATCTCCTCCTGACACACATTTTTATCTGTTCTTCTGTCTCTCCTGTCACCCATTATTAGTCTTTTCTGAACACTTGACAGCCACCTCTGATGTAATGTTCCGTCACCTCAAAATACCTCAATAAATATTCCACTAAAACAGTGACATTCTCCAACATAACCAATATAAATCTCTCCAAGCCAAGAAATCAACATTAACATCCAATCCACAGACTAATTCGAATTAAGGACTGGGAGCAAATCTCTACTGGCTTGATCCCCTGACAATCTCACTGTTCCCCGTCCCAAATTCCCTGTAGCTAGGGTTCATTTATTCAATTACTGGCAGGCTAAGGCTTCCTTCAGACAGCAGAGCCAATTGCATTCCTAAACAGATTATCAGCAGTCTGAATTCAATAACTCATGATTCTGTCTTGAGTCCAATTAAAGTAGGACCCACTGCATTTAAGTCCTACTTTGCTGCTCTACTTTTAGGAAGGAGATCTTTATTTTCCCATGTTTGAAGCACTACCCTTAGGGCAGGAGCCAGAGAGAACTTCCCAGGTAGTGAAAACCTTTCAAATGAAATTATATTGAACCACTACAAATATGTAAATAGAGATACCTCCACTGAAAGCCTGATTCTTCCTTTTCCTAGCCATTGGTTATTTAACCTATTTGGTTAACCTCTCAGTTTTCTCATCTTTAAAACGAAACATGAGCTTAGGCATAACTTTGAAGACATATGGTATGAACACATGAAAAGTACATTTTTGTTAATGCCCTGATAATTGATACATTTCAAGGAAACTGATTCTCATTATGCAATGGCACAAAATCTGATGCATGAATAGAAATCATTGCATATGGTGCAATAGCCAAGGAGATTCCATACTGTTGGCCAGCACCATTATATTCCTTATAGAAAACATGTGGGAAACCAAATTATAATAGCTAATGGGCCTGGGAACAATGTTATTATTATGATCACTTTAATCTGGTTACCTTAATACCTAATAGCATTTATCTTCTCTTTAAGATTAGAATTTCCAAGTTTCCAGGTACTTATTGGGCTTGCTCAAAGAAACACTTTCTCATGATTAGACAAACTTTTATCTTTGAATTTTTGTTCTCAAGAATTTAGGAAACCTTTTTTTCCTTCATAAGTTATAACACTGAGTTCTTTAAAATAAATAATATTGAGGTGATACTACCACAGGAACCTTGATGATCTTTGGGAATTACTAAATCCCTTCTCAGTATTGTAGGGCAATCTTGACATTTTGAAGGACCACCGTAAACCTTTATTTACTGTTATAGTCAAAGTCATGCAGTATTATGCAAGATGATCTATTTCTTTTTTTTTTTTACATTTTATTAGTTGTAGATGGACACAATATCTGTATTTATTTTTATGTGGTGCTGAGGATCGAACCCAGTGCCTCACACTTGCATAGCAGGTGCCCTACCACTGAGCCACAGCCTCAGCCACAAGATGATCTATTTCTTAGAGCTGGAAAAAAAACATATATACCCAATTGTAGTAGGACAGAGCCTGGGGCAGCATGCATGATCTCTACGTCCTGATATTCTTGACTTCATGTCACTTCATCCAATGAGTGTGAACAGAACATGTGCTTTGTTTGTAAGCAATAGAATATAGCAAAGGTAAAGAGACATTAATCATATATCACTTACGGTGGGGACACAGAATAAGAACTATGTCATTAGGTAATTTTGTCATCGTGCAAACATCATAGAGTATATTTACATAAGTACAACCTACTATGGACCTAGACTATCTAGTGTATACCATCTATATGTGGTCTAGCATTGAATAAAATGTCATTATGTAACACATGATTGTATATGATTATGTGTATATGATAATTTTACATAAGATTGTAACATGCTGAAAGACTCTTTCCTGTACTGGCTTTGAAGAAGATAGCCAACATGGTGTGAACCAGCCAAAGGAGTGGGCCATCTAGGAAGTAACTGAGGGTGATCTTTGTCCAAAAGCCAGCAAGAAACTGAGGCCTATTTCCAACAGCCTGAATGTAACATAGCTTCCAACAACCATTGGAACTTGGAAGTAGATCCTTCCCTAATTGAGGCTCAGATGAGCCAGCAGCCCTAGATAGCACCTTGATTGCTACCATGTGACTTCGGAGAAGAGGTTGTATCCGAGTTACACATGTGCTCGTCAACTCGAGAAACTCTGAGAAAATCAACATGTGCTATTTTTAACAAGCAAATTCATGGAAATTTGTTCCACAGTCATAAAACATTAACATTCATTAAATTTCTCTCTTTTAAGCATAGTATAAATTTCCCCAAGTTTTGACAATTTTCTATGCAGGATCAACTATCCCATTTTTTAGTTTGTGGAGTGGTTCCAGGGAGTTCTAGAGAGTGAATGAGTACATTTAAGATTTTAGATTATTCAACACCATGCTTCTCTCACATCACTATCTGAGACATGCCACTAATTTGCAGACAATATCCAATATTGTCATCTTTGCTTCCTCCTTCTATTGGACAACTTCTGATCTATCCAGGAATTTATACTTTTGCTCTAACCATAAGACAATACAAAAAAGAATTATATTTACAGCTGATTAATTCTTTCCCTTCTGAGTTGAGTCTCAACAGTTTTCTTTTAGAGAGCAATCTTTTTCTAGGGTCTTGCATCAAAATGAATGAACCACAGTTCAACCAAGCACAAAAGTGAGAAAGCTGTAGGAACAAGTTCAAAGTGCAAAATTCCCATGGTAAAAGGACATGTGATACAAAATAAAGATAAAAGTCATACACAACAAAGTTGGGTAGGTAATACAGAATTAGACTGGGCCAAATATTCACTATGCATGTTAAAAATTTTGCTTTTTAACCTAAGAACAATGAGAAACTGCTAAGTGGTTTTAGGAGTGTGGAAGAAGTGACATGATCAAAGTATCCTTTGAAAAGATGAGTCTGGTGGGGCTGGAGTTGTGGCTCAGTGGTAGAGCACTTGCCTAGGATGTTCAAGGCCCTGGATTCGATCCTCCGCACCACATATAAATAAAAGTATTGTGTGCAACTACAACTAA